CATGTGGTCTGTGTGGGCCCCAAAGTATGAAGGAGATGAGTCGTGGCTGCTTTCCCTGGAGACAGACATGCAGGGGCAGTCTGAAGGCAGAGCTCTTGGTGCAGGCTCTGGAGATGGTGGTTGCCTTGGTCCACCACCTCCTCCCCTCACTGCTGCACCATTTACAGATGGCAACAAGGGTGACAGTACCAGCTTGCTTGAGGGGGCAGTCGGTGTTGAGGTGACAGGTAGGAGAGAGGAGCAGAGAATGGATGCACTTCTTGTGCTGGGTCTGGCCGTCAGCAGGCAAGAAAAGGGGTGAGCGACTGCAGAGTGTGCAGGATGGGTCTTCGGGTCGCACAGTGGGGCAGGTAAGGGCTGTCGGTTTATGGGGAGGCTGGGGGATTCGCATGGGGGCAGGCACGGGTTGCTTGTGAGCACTGGGCTGCGGCAGTGGCTGTACAGGCTGAGTGTTGTCACTGTGAGGGGCAGCCAAGGGAGGGAACCAGGTCGGTGTGGGGGACCCTCTGCCAGGAAACTCCTCAGAGAAAGGCACTGAAGTACGTGTGTCAGCAACCCTCAGAGACACACACATGCACGCGCGCGCCTCTTCTCCCGTACGCTCCCCCGGGCGGTGTGCCAGGCTGGCCTGTCAGTCTGTCACTTGCCTCTCACTGCCTCGTCTTTGTGCTATGTGCCAGCCTGTCGCAGACTTTCAAAACGCCTTGCCGGGGGCCTGGACGATTGCTGTTAACGTAGCTGCTCTAATCAAATGGTTGTAGTATGTGCATGTGGCATTTGACGTCTTTGTGGTGTGTGTAGTGTGAAGGCTCAATAAAGGTCTGCAGCATGCAGTAACTAACTGACTAACCAACTCGCTACGGGTGGTGCTGTCTCTGTTCGTTGCCTGCCCCGGGGGCGCAGCTCTGGGTGCAGCACCCAGCGCCCGGGGTGCAGCCGGGGCGGGCGTCTGAGAGACCAGGCCTGAGGTGTCCGGCGGGGAGCGGTCTGTGCCCCTGACGGCCACGGTGCAGGCAGGGGGGCACCCGGATGGAGCAAAGGGGGGGTTAGGGGTGGTGACTTGTACCTGATGGTGGCGGGGGGGAGGGCCTGCGCTGCCCAGGGGCTGCCCCAACCCACACCCCCGCCGCGGGGGGGCCG